TCAACGTAAAAGTGAGATCATTTTCACTTTCCTTCACATTCTCTTACAATTAATTCGAATTTAAATATATTGAGTCCTACAATTAAAAAATATAAAATTCTAACAACATAATTTAAAGCATTTCCTTTTATTTTTAAATTTTAACGTGAAGGCGATGTTTGATGTCGTGTATGCTAATGTTAGTCGGGCAGCAGGATTTGGGGTGTTAGCAGGGACATTGGCGGTGGTGTTGGCAGTGTTTTTAATCGGAATCAAGAGGTACCGAAAGCAGAGGCCGACGGGGAGCCCCTTCACCACCATGGCTCAGGTCTTAGTCGCTGCCGTGAAGAAGTGGCGCGTGAGTGAAACCCACGGTGGCGGGGGGATTTGTTATGAAGATGATAGAGTCAGTGGGAGCAACACCAATGGCCAAACCAGGAGCCACAATTTGGCCCGTACCGAACAGTTAAGGTAAATATCTTAAAAAATCTTATATACAATCAAAAAAATCAAGAGTTAATTGCACAACAAATCCATCAAACTACAAACTTTATTCTAAATTAGTCCATAAACTTTTAAATATTCTGATTTCATCCCAAATTATGACTAATTCTAACTTCATCCTCAAGCTTTTGAATGTTTCAAATTCATTTCCAAACTATGACTTTCATTCTAAATTGGACTCTAAACTTTTGAACTTTCCAATAACATCTCTTAAAATCATTCAAAAGTTTGGGGATAAAATTGGAATATTTAAACGTTTAGGGCCAATATAGAATGAGGATCATAGTTTGTGATGAATCATAATAAATTATTGAATAATAATAATAAAATAGTTGGCAATACTTGAATTTTAGAAGCAGAGAAACATCAAAAGTAAAATTTTCTCCGAAGAAGTTTGTTTAAAATTAGTATATTTATATAAAAAAAAGAGTTTATTACAGAGAGTAAACGGATGATGCATGTATATTTTGCTATTTAGAGCATATTAAAAGGTTTTAGCTTAAGAAATGTATTTACTATATTTGATATAGTTACCATTTAAAATATTTTAATTAATTGTACTTAAAAAATGGGTAACGTATAGGATGAATGAAAAAAGCTAAAGAATCAGAAGCAAACATAGTCTTTAAGGATAGACCCCAAATATAGAAGGTTAATTTTTATTTTTAAATAATCTTATATAATTATAAGATATGATATGTTTGTAATTTTTATTAATCATTCATCATGTATACACATCCTATTTGAATCCAATCAAAGGCGGATACATATGACCCCATAAGGGGTCAAATACATACTCATTATTTTATATTAGTTAGAAAATATATTTAAATATATTAAGAGAAGAAGAAAAAAATGCATACCCATCATGTTGAAAAAATAGTATTAAAATTTGTTGACCCCATTTATATATTTGTAGATTCGTCATAGAACTCAAAATCTTAAAAAAAAAAATCCCTTTAATAACTCAGGTTACTTAATAGGCTTGGCATGTTAACTTTTGAGTCATAAATTATATTAATAACCAATCTCATACGATAAAAGTAATTTTATAATCGAATTAAAAAATCTCAAGTCTCGATTGAAGTTCGAATCATTTATGATATAACTTGAAATTGAAGATTTTTGGACTAGGCAATGATCATTGACAACAAAAATGCCTTGAGCAAAACCAAGGATCCATGGCGGCTTTGTTCATTGAACAAAGTTGAAGGAGTTAAGCTTGTATTTCGCCTCATCCCTATATGGCTTGCTTGCTTAATGTTCAGTGCCGTGATAACTCAAATGCACACATTTTTCACCAATCAAGGCAGCACAATGTCTCGATCAATAGGTCCCGATTTCCAAGTTCCTCCCTCAGCACTCTAAAGTCTCGTTGGCATCACAATCCTCATCGTCGTCCCCGTTTATGATCGGGTCTTCATCCCCATCGCTCGGAATGTAACGGGACATCCCCGCGGAATCATAATGCTACAAAGAATCGGTACTGGTCAATTCGTTTCCATATTGAACATGCCTGTTGCAGGCCTAGTAGAGACGGCTAGAGTAAACACCGCAAGCAAACACGGCCTACTTGGCACCCTGAAAGCCATATTGCCGATGACCGTACGGTGGTTAGTTCCACAATACGTACTCACAAGAATCGGAGACGCCTTCACGGTCTTCGGGTTACAAGAGTTGTTCTACGATCAAATGCCAGAAGAAATGAGAAGCATCGGAGAAGCTGCATATATAAGAGTAGTGAGAATTGGGAGCTTCGTAAACACAGTTATAATCTCAGTGGTGCAAGCCATTACTTCAAAGCACGGGCGTGAATGGCTAGGAGAATCTCAACCGTTCAAATCTTAATTACTTTCATTTGGTATTGGCAGGGTTTAGTGGGATTAATTTGAGTGTTTATTTGTGGACTACTAAGAGTTTTGTGTATAAAAAGTTGAAAACAATGATCAAACAATTAGTACTGAGGTAACCAGTTGGAAACAGGAGGGTATTTGGAGGAAAGAGTATGAAATATGGGGATTTTTGGATGTAAAATCCATGTCTACGACTTAGCTATATTATCTTTCTTCGGAAGTACAATTTTAAATTTTTTCAAAGTAATCTAGATTGAATATAAGTGATAGTTTATGCTCTAAAGATTTTTCATCATTTGATAATAAACGTTCAAATTCCTTACAGTCGATAGTGCTATAACTCATAACCTTTTGGATAACAACTTTAAAAATTTAAATACAAAAATAGTTCAATTTTCAATTTTATTTGATAATGAAGTATATAGTCAAGAAATATTGACAAGGTTAAAAATTAAAGCATTTGATCGGTTTGACAGGTTTAATTTATATTTATTTGCATAGTTTGGGTGATTATAAGATAATATCTACTCAGAAGATATTTTTACTTATTGACAACGCACATACATCATACAGACGTGACTGCTTATACTCAATACCTATAAGAAGATTAACAATCCCTTCTACGATTGAGCCAATTAATGAACGTGGTTTAACTTATATATATTTTACTTATTTTGGTCATTTTTCCTATAATTGATATGCAAAATCTTTGGCACTTAAGCCGAGTTCTAGTTCTATTAAAAGCTACATTCGCTTAATTCTCGTCTAAGCATTTTTTTCATTGTATTAAGCTAAGTTCCTCGTACTGTTTATTTTCCATGAATGAATTATCTACATTTCGATACTCATGTTTGACATTTGAGTATGAGAATATGACATTTAAGAATCTTTCAAATACATGAAAAAGCTGAAAAAAAATATTCGTGTTGGATACATGCTCATGCAAAAAATATATATATTGGATTGAATCGAGACAAAGCTAAGAGTTTAACTAATTTGATACATGTATTAGACATTATCTTTAAGAATATTTTTTATAACGTATCATCTAGGACTCAATAAGCTTTTCTGTTATTAAAACGAGACTCGAGAACAAGAATAGTTTTCTTTTCTGTCATAAAATTGGACTCAAAAACAATAATAGTTTTTGATAAGAATATTCAGCAAACTTAAGAGGGGTAAAGAAAACAGATAAGAGAAAAGATCTTCAAAAATTTTTGGTGTGTTTAGAATGAAAAAGAAGCTTAAAATTTATAGGAGTAGTGGTTAGTGATGGCAAACGGGTGGGGTGGATGTGAATACCCCTTCCTCATCCCCATTGTCATACTCACCTAATATTTTCGTATCCACCACCTACCTACTATTCACAATGGGAAAAATTTATAAATCTACAACCACTCACGTGAATACATTCGCAAATTTACCCCACCCCTACTACCCAACTGAATACCCACCAACCATCCCATATTCGTTTGTACCAGTCTATACCCGTCTATACCTGTCAATTTGAGATAGGAGAAACAACAGTCTTCGATTTTAAAAATGTTTATACCCTAACATCAGGTTAAATTACAAGTCATGTTCTATAAAATCTTAAAATTTACATAATAGTCTCTAAAATTATATCTAAATTATAATGGTCCAAAATTTATATGGTGAGTAGTTAGTTTTCGGGCGAATGTGGGGCGGGTGGATGCAGGGCGGTTAAGGTCTCAAACCCATCACCTACCCATTACCCACGGTGGGTATGACTTTTTACATCCACACCTGCCCATTACTCTCTAAACTTATACCCATCCCCAACCCAATAGAACATGATACAGTGCGAAACGCACGAAATTGTACCCATCTGTCATCCCTGTAGTGGTGCCTAAAAATAGTAAAAAAAAAAAGGGGGTAAACTACTTGAATGATAACCAACTATGGGATTGGTATAAAAATGACCACCATTTTCAAATTGAAGTCAATATGACCACTGAACTATTTAAGTAGTATCATTTAAGTCACTACCGTTAAAATCTAACGGAGAGGTGACGTGACAATTAACAGAAATTTGTATAATTTAAATTTAATTTTATAAATTAACCATTCAATCAAGAGGTGACACATGTTGAGCCGAGCATAGTCGAGCTGGGAGTTGAGTTGAGTCGAGCCGAGCCATCTATCCAAGTCAACCGTTGACTGCTGACCATAGTTGATTGACTGTTGACCAAAGTTGACTTTTTATAAACCACCTATCCTGATTTTTTTAACATTCTAAGTTTGTTTTTGGGGTCTGATTTGATCCGATTTTTACATCTAAGTTCTGTTTATGATATAATTCGTTTTGTATCCGAGATATTATGAGATGTCAAATACAAGTTTGAGTGTCACACCCCTAATTTTTATCTAATTGTATTAAATTTATTTAATTAAATACTTTTAGGACTAAATTGTAAGATCTTAAAACTATTAGGGCAGTATTTTGGAAATTTTAAAAATTAAAAGACCTAAGCTGGAATTTGTCCCTCCTTTGTATGCAAAGAAGAAAAGAGTGTTTAGGTGAGATTTGAACCGACATGATGAAACATGATCACCCTTTCCCTAGCCACTAGGTTGGGTACTATTTTATTATTATTTTAAATCAGATTTTTTAAGCTTTTAGATTGGATTTAAATCCCAAGATTGAGTTCTTAGTTCGAAAATGCCCTAATACCTAAAATTTAAACTCTCAATTGTCTAACTTTTCATCGTCGTCTCCTCAACATTCAAGCTCCGTCCTATTTCCGTGAAGTGCACTGTTGATACCATCGTGACTGTCGTCCACCCACGACCAAAAGCCCCATCGTCCCACATCAGAAACTATCACTGTTCACCGTGAATCGATATTTGTTTACTTGCCAAAACCAAACAACTGCCACCTCAGTTTTCTTCAAATTCTCGCTGATCCTGAGCTCCGATGACCACAACGCCCTCATCGCTGAGCCCTTCACTCGATTCGACCAAAACCCGACCCTCTTGATCCCTCACCACCATCGTATCCTCCGTTGCACCGTGGGTTAGTTTCTTTTCCCTTTTCTAGTTATTTCGTAGCATTTTAGGTCAAGTATTGATTTGTAATTGCGTTGAAATGGTGAGTAAAAGCTTTCAGAGTGATTGAACTATCAAAATCGACTATGTCACAATCGCACACGCCACCGTCGCACATGGGTTTCGCTTTCCCAGTCGAATATTCTGGAACGGTTCGAGTTAACTCAGATCGGGCTGAGTTAACTCGGACCAAATCGAGTCAACTCGAACCAGTCTGAATCAATTTGAACCGGTCAAACTATTGACTTTGATTGAATCATTGACCTTGACCGTTAACCTTGACAAAAAAGTCAAAATTTGCATAAAAGTCGCATTTTATGTTTTTTTACTTATTGAATCCAAATTTGCAGTCTGTTTTACAAAATTCTAATCCAAAAATAATCGAAAGAGTGTTAAACCCCAAACATGCATATACGTTTAATTATTTTATTTAAGTGCATTTAATTTTTGGTCAAGGACTAATTTATGGTTTTGATTATTGAAAATATTGGAGACTCTCCGACCGCACATCAGCTTGACCCAGCTCACTTGATCCGTTCGATCGTATGAGCTCGAGATTACTCGTATAATTTTGTAAACCATACAAATAATTAGATTTAAATATTATGTCAGTAGTAACTTGAATTCGTTATGGTTTAGGTTCGAGCGCTGATATAGAGAGTAGTAAGGTTGGTGCTTTGTAGACCTCCTTGGATTGATCCTTATTTAGGTGTATTCCTTGTGTGCTATATGATTTCTTTATCTGTTTTGAAATATGATTTGATAACTGAACTTATTTATGAATATTTTATCTGATTGATATCTTGATTTCCTGAATTACTGTTTATGAACTATGTTTGCCCAATATATGCTCTATGGTTACCATTTTGACTGAAAAATATAAATATGCCTACGTAAAAAGTTCTTAATTATTTCATAGTCCATATTTAGGTGGTTTATGTTCAGATAAACCTGATGAAATAACCTAAGTAAGTGAGAAGGATTAGCCACCTTCTATGACAAGTGTTGGGATGTTTTCTTACATTTTCTAGAATCCTGAGGAAAGAGATATATATATATATGGGGTAGGATCTTCTTACATAATGTAAAACTCTTTTAGTTTTACATAGATTAAGATCGTTTGATGAGTGAAAACGAATGGTTGAGATTAAAAGTAGGAAATATGAAGATATTTACTAGAAAAAAAACAAGTAGTCAATTACAGTGATCTATTTTCACTCATCCAATAGTCCTACATCTTTGTAAAACTAAAGAGTTTTACAATGTGTAAGTTGATCCGAACGTTATATATAGGATCATAATATACTTTGTAGACACATTGAGGACTTTGGTGGATGAAGGAGTTAGTTATGTGTTATTAGTTCACCTTGATCTTAGAAAATTTAAGATTCGTTCACTTATCTAAGAGGAGAATTACTCATCATCACTATGTACAAGTTCCAGATACATTCACTAGTGCTTAAGTATATAATCTCGCTATTGCTATTCTCATGGTTTACGTTAAAATACTCTCAATTTTTATAAAAGAATTCTTTCGCATTAGTAGAAGAATGTTGTTAGTGTTTGGATTTAATATCATTTTTAATGCTATTGAATTTGGTTTAAATAACATTTTAATGTTGTTGAATGAAATGATGTTTTTTCCCTAACCATTTAGCTTATAAATTGTGGCCAAGTCTTCCCATTTCAATCATCCCAAGTAAATATTTTCTTTGAAACACTCTCCTTCTTCATAGTGTTTTCATGATGCTTCTGAGTTCTAATTCTGAGTTTCGAGAGAAAATTAGTACCATAAAAATCCATTCCACTTTTCGGGAATATAAAATTAGAGAGTCGTGCTAACTTTAGGGGTTATTCGTCAATTGTAGCGGTTACACACATCAGGATGAGTTCACTTCTAAGGCAATGGATTACCACGACACAATTATCATTCTATTTAAATATTTTATTTAATATTTTTAGTCAATGTCTCGTTTTGTAATATTCTATTTTTCCATCACCATGTAGGAGTATATTTGAGCTGGTGCAATGGTCAAATGTTGTTTCATCCTCAAATCCTAAGTACAATTATTTAGGAGTACATTTGATTCAGTTTGGTTCCATTTTTCAATAAATTATAAACTAAATTGTACGTTACTGGATTTTAGAATTTGAAACTGAATGTCACAAAAATCATCGATTTCAGTTAAATTCTCTTTTGCTATTTTTGACTGTCTCTATTTTCCAAACTCAACATTTAAATAAAACAAGTTTAAAACTAAAATAGAATATAAATATACAAATTTAAATCCATAAAAAATGTTATTAGTATAGAGTAAAAAAAACTCTAATCAAATTGAATCACATGCTTCAGTTCTAATCAATTTTTCGCTTTTCTCAATTTCTTGGCTCAATCCAAAAATTATTTAGTCCACATAAACAAAGTCATATTTAAGCTTTCAGGTAAATTATTTATTTAGTATCTAAATTATTAATTTTATTTTGTTTTAGTACCTAAACTTTCTTTGTTTCAAAATCATACTAATTTTTTTTATTTTATTTTAGTATCTCGTCATTAAAACTTAACAGCGTTATATTTTTATGGTTAAATTATATCTTTTTCATTCCTACTTTGGTATCTAAAATTTAAATTTTTTCAATTTAACTATTCAACTTTTCAATTGCTTTCATTTTAATAATTCTAATTTATCTTGTTCATAATTTTTGTGACATAACAGTTTTTATTATTACTTTATTAATATATAATCAAAATAAAAAAATCTAAAAGTTAGAGTAATTAAATTAAGAGTAACTTGAAAGTTAAATAATTAAATTAAAAAATAAACTTTAGTGAGCTCAAAATGTAATTTATTCATAGAAAAGATAGCACGTATAACTCACCCATGTTTTTAATGATGAGAAATAAAAAAACGAAACAAAAAATAAACGTTAAATATAATTTTGAAATAAATTAAAATTTAGATACTAAAACAAAACAAAAATAATAGATTAAGTACTAAATGTGTAGTGTACCCTAAGCCTTTTCGCCAACATAAATAAAGAAGAATACTAATGAGCCAATGTCCCATTAATTAAACTCCATTAAAAACATATATATGAGCTTAATAGTACTTGAAAATAAGCTTTTTTAATAACATTGAAACATTAAAGACCTAAATGAACAATACAATCAACCTCAAAACAGCTACGGAACGGCATGGATGACATCACCGTCCTCCATCTCTAAATCATTGGGAGTTTGGTCAAGCTTCAAACGAGAACCATCAAAACGGAACCTCATATATTCGTAAACAACTCCAATTCGTTGGAAGTAATCAAGCATCAGATAACGCATCTTCGTGTCCCGCCTAAACCCTAAACCCGTGCCTTGACATTAACAACAATTGTGTCCTCTTCTTTCACCCCAGATAGACTTCCCGATGTCAATCCAGTGCCTGCCATGAATTCGTCACGCCGAATAGCATCAATGGAATCACCGTCTTCCATTTGCAATTCAGTGGGTAAAGAGGATGGGTTGATAGCTGAGCCATCGAAGAGAAATCGAACGGAGTTTGGAGAAATAGCAATGCGTGGGGTGTAATCATTCATCAGTTCCCTCAACGGTGTGTTTCGGCCCATCCAGTAGTGTATCTGCTCGGCTTCTTTTCGACCAAACCGCACCTTCACAAGACTCCTCTTTTCTTCTTTCCTACTACAAGAAAGAGTGATATAAATTGATTAAGTTGCTGCTATCACACACTTGCCGTTTGAACCCATTTTTTATGAACTGGCTTATCTGATTGACTAAGAAGCTTCATATATAGTATTCGAATTGCAAGAAGCAAAAGCGTCTCTTTGGGAGATGGAAACTTGAAATGAATATGGGGAAATAACTACAATTTGCTTTGGAAACATATATACACGCATTCTTATAATATAATGAAAAGTCATTCTTTGAAATATATAATTATTATTTTGTCCACGTTCATATTAGTATCGTTTCCAACTCAATCAATTTTAATTAATTTTTTGTTCATATTTATTATATTCAACGAGTTCTAGTTAAATTATTTAAATAACAAATAATTAAAACTTGAAAATAATAAAAAAAACACTTAACAATTGAAATTTACCATCGTGAGAAAAAAATAAGTTAGGCTTTTTTTTCTCAGATGAAAAGGCTTTACTAAAACAAATAAGGATAAATTATCCTACAGATCACTAGATTGTAGGTTGATTCTATTCCGAATTTCTTATTGTTGAAAAAAAAAAATTGTCAATGAAGTCGTTAAATTTTTATTATGATTTCATTCAAAATATTTTCCGTTAAATTAATAATGACAAGGTTAATGATACCATTTTAAAACATGGTATTCATTTTAACACTCAATATTAACATATTATTTTAAACTAGTCCTAAATTAGAATTAATTTAATAAATTTAACTTTAATACTTACAAATTGTTTCTACATAGTCCTCATTTAATTTTAGCTTAATATAAAAATAAATGCTTAAATTATACATTCTTTCTCATTTAAGTGTCTAAACTATTTTTTGGTCAATCTAAGTGCCTATCGTTACAAACATTATTATTTTAAGTGTCTCTACCATCGATGTCGCCCTAGTCATCGTCATCTGTCGACAAACAACAACCTTGGTCCTCATCGACCACCCAGTAACCGATCGTCGCCCCACTCCCCTAAATCCCCAACCATAAATCCTTAAACTCCTAATATCCAAACATTCAAATCCCTAAAAAAATATAAATCTAAATGCCTGAGTGTGACAATCGACCGTTTGGTTGTTTGCCCAAATGTGATAGTCGGTCATTCCTTTGACCGTTCGACAATTTGAAAAAAGGGTAGGGACGACGCAATTGGGTTTTTGCAAGGGATGACATGGGTTTGTGGATTTTGTTTTTTAATTTAAGGTAAATACAAGGAAGTATTTATTCATAGATGACTCTCCAAACCACAATAATGAGGTCCTCTTCTTTCACTCGAGACAGACTTATCAATGACGACTCAGTTGTTGCTCTCATTGTTTCTTTTTTATTCATAATTTCAGTTGTTGTTCTCATTTAGTAACACCCACAGACGACTCAGTTGTTGCTCTCATTGTTTCTTTTTTATTCATAATTTCAGTTGTTGTTCTCATTTAGTAACACCCACAGACTGATGCGAGTGACCTGATCCAATCCGGGGTATCACATTAGGGCCACTGGAGCGACCCACAATAAAAATCCGGGAAAATTTAAATTTTTATTAAAACACGTAAAATCATAAAACAATTTATAAATAATACAAATTCAGAAAAACCATTCATATGTTATAAACAGGATTAAAATCATACAAGTTTCAGACTCTGATATAAAAACAGAATACAACCTACATGACCCTAATCACTTGCACCATACTTCGCAATCAACACCGGTGGAACTCCTTTACTGATGCTGATAGCTGAATTGGTATGATTCTTTTAACTTGAAATGGTGAGTAAAAGAGTGAGCATTAGGAAGCTCAATAATACATAACTACCAAGTGATACTAAAGGACATGCAGATAAAAGGAACATCATAAATTTTCCTTATTGACTCAGCTGTCTGTAGATTTTCGTAATGAGCTGAGGTTCCACTGATATTTCATCAAGTAAAAGTCATATAGATTTCAGTTCATAGGACACATGTAACCCCCTAAACCCAACCTGGACGTTATGCCTATGTCTAGGTAATTACGTATCACATTCATAAATTCTTTTTATTTTTAAAACAACGTTGAAATCCACATTTCATTAATATGAAATTTATCCATAATAAAGAT